GATATACATCGACAGCAGGCTGGAGGCGAACAGCCAGGCTAGAGGCGCGGTAGCTCTAGCCAAACAAGACATAGTGGCGACGGAAGCCACTGACGCAAGGTGCCTCGGAATCGCTGAGCGAATCAGCAGTGTTGGGTTGCATGCAACCACACACGAGGCGAAGCGCGGACCTGGTGCAATCACGGCATCGGTACCTTGGTCATGAACGCCTTGTGAGTAGGGTGAACGGAACGTCTCACCCGCTGACAAGGCGGCTGCGGATCGTGATGTATACAACGCGCCGGGTATAATGGGCCGTGGATCCATAGCCCAAGTGTGGTGCACGAGTGCACACACAACTGACCAGGTAGTGGTCGAGGCAATGCACCCAGTCGTAACTGGTACCGCGCCGAGCATGACACCGTGGGGATGGCTGCTTGCCTCACCATGATTCGGTACCGCATGGGTACGCGGTGTCAATGCCAGACCCCAGCGCCACAGTAGTACGGTGGTGGGATGCGCTCCATCCACGGTCGAGTACCATCACGGTACGTGGTGTTGGTATTAGACACCACCACGCTAGTGGTGTAACGGCAATATTCCCCACCACGGTCGAGTACCAACAAGGTACATGGTGTCTATGACAGACACTGGTATGGGTGTAAAGGATATTCGCCATGCCACGACCCGATGCTGCTCTGGGCGTATGCGCCGTGAGTACATGCACGTACCGTGCATCTGCACTGGCTGCTGTCGAGCAGCCTGCCGGGAGTTCCACGTAATGAGCTCGTCGTGCATGACACACATGAAGTCCACGAATCACTTATGGTAGCTGTGGTGCGTGTCGTACACATCGTACCTGGTGTGCGGGATCATGGACTTGTACACTGTGCTTGCACATGCGTCGTGCATGATGTGAGCTTTGGTCATGAATCAGTTCAGACGACAGCACAGCAGAAGCCGTTGCCGCCAAACATGGCAACCTTGTGGTGGGCGTACCGCACCAAAGGTTAGTACCGGACGGTACATGGGGTCGATGGGAGACACCTACACCACGACTGAGTACCGTCACGGTACATGGTGTCGATGAAGGACACCTACGCGCCGTTAATATGATGGCCAAGACGCGAAGAGAAGCGTGGCAGAAGCACCGTCCGCAAGGATAGAACCTTGCTGGATGCAAAGGCATGGCCCGAGATGAGCTGAGAGCTCTCTCTAGTGCTGGGGCAGATGTTGTCCTTCTCGGTGTCGTCCCTCGCGGGAGACACCATGCTCCGGACGCGTTCGCAAGGACTGTCGTGTCCTCCGGTGCGAACCGTGGGTGAATGCCACACGTTAGGATGCTATTGCACCCTATACTAAAGCACAGTACGCGCGCTAGCGCAGGGGCTAAGGCAGCTCTGAATGAAGGCTTTCCGGTCAACACAGTTGTGAGCAAAGGGATGCAAATCCCAGTGTGCCTTGAGAGCACAAGTCACTGTGGGTGTGACTGAGAGCCGCGCCAGTCTCATGGCTGCTCAGTGTGAGAATTCACGTTTCGGTGTTTTAATTCTCTCACTTTTGATTGGGGGATCAGTTGTGATTGGAGAATCAGGTGATTCTCAGTTAAGTGGGGGATCCGACAGCGCTATCTAATAAATCACCAAAACGGCCTCTGTATCCCACAGCGATATTGGATATGGGAACCCGTGTTAATTAATATAAATTGACATTTAGTGCATCTTAAATTATAGACGATCGCAGTACTTCAAGATATTTGCGCCTTGGGCAGCACGTGGACAATGTTCTCTCTGTCGCAGCGGGCCGCGCAATGCGAAACACGTCGACGTTGACCCTGACCTGAGGCTGCACAGCATGGCACATGTAGGTGGTGGAACAGCAGTGGCGGGCGGTGCAGTGCTGAGCGTTGGTGTGATAGCACCTTGCACAGAGGAAGTGCTTAAGGGTATTTACTACGTTACTTCACGTGTTCTCGGCCTGAAACGGAACGGTTTGCTACTTTGGAGTAGTAGATGTAAGACTGGTGTATTTATAAGTAAGGTTAGCTTGGGTTCCATACAAACTGGATGCTACCTTTAGTGGAGCCATATAGTTATGCCCTGACTGGCTCCTAGAGCACTTGGTACTCACTTTTTCTGTAACCTGGTGTACACCGGATTGTACCCTGCTACACCCAGAGTTGTCAGCGTTATCTGTCAGTTCTTCAATTTAGTCGTGAAGAAAAGCCTGGCATGCAGCGTAACCCAACTCACCGCCACAAGATTTTCATGAAATTCAATACACCTTTGTACAAGTCGCACCTTGAGGGTCAGCATCAGCAGAGGTGGAAACAGTACTGCAACCTTGCTTGTGACGATATTCGCCGATCGATATTAGCAACAGCAAACCCTGGCAGCTCACTACGGTGATGAAAGCTCCATTGATTATGTGTTTAGCCAGCCCATTGTCGAGGTTATTATAGGAGATCTTCTGTTTCATCCCGACGACGTCGGGGGGGTGTCACACGAACAGGCGTTAGCTCTTTTTGCCTTAGTGGAAAATAGACGGTCTCACAATGTACGCAGCTCATGTGGAGAATAAACGACGCTTTAAGTTGCCCGTACATTTTCTTTCATGTGGGGCGTTATTCCGAATGGCCAGTAGGCTCATGGAGGGTATGAAAATGGAGACTGGAATGGGTGAGTCTAACGGGTGTTCTGATGTGATGACTGCTAGATCCTGCCTTAGCAGATTTTTGCGCTGGTGTTCCATGTGCATTTCCAAATACAGCAACAGTGGAGTCTGATTTCTAACTCCTTCGTTGGGAACGGAACGAGAGTAGAACATCGCTGACGGACTTCTCACGCTAAGGTAATACCTCCGTCCCACAAGACATTTACCATTTCTCTTGATGCCTGTTATATTTTCTAGCAAACAGCTTCTAAACTTCGCAAAGTATGAAAACGGTAGCCAGGTGTGCGTGTTTAGTGTTGGTAGCTGCAGCGCTGTATTAACGCGTCGTAAACGGTAGAGAACATCGCCAGAATGAGGCGATAATTGAGGCATCTCACCAAAACTTACGCTATGCAATCAATAAAAAGCTACGTCATCTAGGTTTGTACCATCGACAGATTACACACTGGCGCATCGTTTTAGACTCATCTCACTAAGTAATATGTCCTCCAATCGAAGCCATTTTTTATTTAAAAAACCGCTTCAATTTCGAACTTAATTGGACATTAACATATCGATAGGATATTTTCCACCAATCCCCAAGTTGTATTGAATTAGACCAAGTTTTAAGACTGCTAATCCGTGGATTTACCACATCTACACAACAACGTCGTCCAACGCTGCCTTGCCGAATTTTACTGCCTCGCTTGAGCATGGCAGCGAGAGAGGGAGATATCCTGCCCGAGCCCACTTGTCCTTGCCTAAATGTGGAATCTTGTTTGTGTTTCCGCCGCGGCCCAGCATCGCTTGTTTCAACACAGATTGTAGCGTTAGGAATGACTTACTTAGCGTCACATACTCGAGCTCAACAAAAGCTGACTCCACCGCATCAACTAACTGCTCCACGTTGTACGCTCGCTTCTGATATTGAAGAGCTTGGATACTGAAAAAAAGCCAAGGTCGAGTATATTGAAGTCGGGGCTACGTGACGGCTGGTTGCCAAAGGTAATATTCCAGTCGTCAGAGCATTTAGCCGCTTTCACTTCATCTGAGTATGCACTACCGTGTGGCGTCGCATTATCTTGCTGCACCGAGACCGCTTATGATCCTGATAAATTTATTATAAATAAATCAACACGAGTCAAAACAAATAAACAAAAAAGTATTGAAAAGACGTACCGGGTCACTTGGCCTTGGTTACAGGAATAACCTTGTCGGCAAGGTACTTCTTGTGCCGTACCTTGTCGATCGAAGTGCATTTGATCTCAGGAGTACCCGCTGGACGGTTCCTCGATGAGCGCTTAGGCTCCACCATCTCCACGAACGGCCAGAAACCCAGCTTCCCATCGGCTGTGTGGATCATAACGAGGTCGCCCAGCAGCTACCAAAAAGAGAACTTTGGTGATATGATTGACGTTAGGAACAGCAAAGTGCGGAACTTCCTCGTTGTCTGTCGGGTAGTACGACTTCCTCTTTTTAGAAATGAAAAACAACTTTTCATCAATATGAATTGTGTCATTCATAGAGTTGAACCTGTACGTTCCTGATGCACAAATACTACAAAAAATTAAATAATGTCAGAATTATTACAATATCACTTCATTAGAGCAGTGAGCGTACCAGCACCTTCCTCCACAAAACTGCAAACTCGATGCGCTGGTGCATTTGATCAGACGTCACGTATGGCTTCACAGACCCCGTAGCTCGACGAATGATGTATTTGATCGCCTTCGCACGCGCGAGGGTGATTCTAGGAATCGCAGTGGCAGCTGCCAAAGCTCGGTTGGATGTCCTCTCGATGGCAGGTACGGCATCCAGCGCCTCCTGAATGGCGTCAGGAGTCCACATTCGGGCTATGCCTCTAGCGCTTTCGTGTGGCTCCTTGTCCCTGGCGTGGAACACGGAGCTTACTGTCTGCCGTGTGTAGCCGAAGTGCGCAGCAGCGTCGTTAATACAGCCACGCGGGAGCTTCCCGTCCGTCATCCACTCCAACAAGTGGCGAATGATGCCTTCGTGGTCTAGAGGTGAAGGGTCAGGACCGAGGTCCATGCTTGCGCTTGGATGTTTCTATTGGTGGGGAATTATTTAGCGAACTGTGGACCGTTCCCTATAATTTTTTTAACTAATCGCATTATTGTAACATTGTGGTGTTTACCACACTAAGTTTAAATGCGGTACCGGTAGTATACGACACTGCAGGTAAAGCTCACAAAAAATGGGCAAAGAAAACAAAGCAAAAAAAACGTTTTAGCGAGCGGAAAATAAGCTTTTTTGCTGTTTTGAATGGGTAGTGTAAAATAAAGAGGCCATGAACGATTTAGGTTGTTTAAAATATCAAGTTCTACGAGTTCTTGTTTGGTGCCTCTTTCCTTGCTGGTCTTCAAAATGAGCAGCTCTCCGCAGCACCACGATGAGGACTACGAGAAATTTTTCAGCGCGGACTTGTTCGTGAACCGCGAGTGAGTCTCAAGAGTACTGGTCTTCCCTACTGCTTCCCTCACACAAAGTCTGACATCCCTGTCTCTCAGCTACGAGTCAAAGGAGTTTAACTTTGGTGTAGTGAAGCAGAAGTTGCTGTCCTCCCACGCCGCATCTACTGACCACGACCTCACGGGCCAAGTGGTGTGGCCAGTCTCCATCTTTCTCGCCTGGTATCTTGTGGCACATCGGAACGAAATCGTCTGCAAGAATGTGGTGGAGCTAGGCGCTGGTGCTGGGCTCAGTGGCCTCGTTGCCTCGCAGTTTGCGTCCGTATCAGCATAGTTCTGCATTGAATAGTGTGTCCAGCTCACAACTAACCTGACGCTGTTTTCCTTGATGCAATGTATAGTGCCCACACCGCCCTGACGGACGGTAACGACATCGTGCTGGAGCTGCTTGAAGAAAACGCAGAAACCAACGCCGACTCCAGCAAAGTGAAGGCGTTGCCACTGCTTTGGGGAGAACGCCAAAGCGTCGAGGCCTTCGAACAGGCATTCCCGTTCCCAATAGACATCCTAATCGGCGCTGACGTCATATGTTGGCCCATCCTCGTTAAGCCAATTCTGCAAACCATCAAGTACTTGCTGCTACGCTCACGCAAGCCGTTAGAGACCAAGTTTTGCTGCGGTTTTGTTTGCCGCGCGCAGTCGACGGAAAAACTGCTTTTCCAGGAAGCTCTGGCGTTTGGATTTCACTTTGAACGCATCTCAGAAGACACATTCCTTCCTACACCGCGGCCTTCCGAGGTGATTTCAAACCGGGAACTGCAGCTGATCGTGTTTACGCTCGACCCACGGGCTCCAAACTGGAACGAACCAGTGCGTTTCGCTGATGCTGAGCTGGCGAACATTCAGACCGCCTGCTAGAACTTCATGTAGATAGGCGAGATGCAGATAGAGATATAAAGCGAGAGTTACGCTCGAAAGAGGCCTGATGTATAAATTATGAGTTTGCGCTCCTTCCCTCTTGTTAAATAGTGGCGACAGGTAGCCAAGATCTAGCTGAAATCCTCCCATTTCGCGTGCCACCCATCGTCGCTTGACCTCTGCAAACGCTCACTTTCAAACGATCTCCTCGTCTGAGAGCTGCTCACCACCAGAGCTCTCGCCCTCACTGATGGTGCCATCTCGAATCCGCTGCTGACGTTTAGCCTGCCACACTCGCTCTTGGTACACAGCAGTCGCGATCAGCCTCTTGGCAGAGTCGTTGTCCACACTGTTGTCACTGTACGAGATCTGCGAGAGGACGGGGCAAACCAGCTTGCCCACTGTTCGTCCCAGCATCTGCATACTCGTAGCCGTCAAATAGTTCATCTCAATACCCAAAAAGCGCAATTTCTTCAATTGTCGGCTCTCCATCGCATACAACACGTGATGGAAACTTGAGTCTGTGATCGTATTGCCACCTAAGCAGAGCTCCATGAGGTTGGGCGCATAGCCGTCAGCCAATGCGTGACACAAGCTGCGAATTCCATCCTCCCCGATAAAGTTACGACGCAGATCTAGTCTCGTGAGCTTCGGACAGACCTGAGATCGCAGCATCTGCGCCACTTTAGTAGCTCCATAGTCACCGAAACTGTTTCCAGGAAGACACAGCTCCTCGATGTTCGGACAACATCCAAGCATCAACGTGTTCAACAGGACGTCGGCTTCTCCATCGGCCTCTTCGTTCGTGAACAAACACGTGATACTCAACCGTGAAAGTCCCGGGAACGTGTTCAGACGCATTTGCTCCGCCATGGACAAGACAATCTGCTCGTGATCATCGTGCGTCACAACGAACCGCTGTGGACAATTGGTGGCGCGCATCGACAGCTTCCCGAATGTCATTCCTGCGGACAGCGATACAATTTCCAGCTGGCGAAGATGGATACACTCACGTAAAATACACGCATCACCTCCAGTCCGAGTCGCAAGTGCCTTCTGCACAGCGTTGCAGCTCAACTGCAGCGACGTCACAAACAGAGGAGCCAAAGCAACGGCAATACGGCACACGGCACGCGAACGCATGATCTGTACGCCATCTACATAGCTCCAGATGATCTTACTCAGTTCCTCGTATCCGCGGAACAACAGAATACCCAGTTCACTGAAGTTGCGCTTACCCTCCAGCTCCGTCTCTGGCTCCTGCTCCTGCTCTGGCATCAACGCGATGCGCATCCGCTTGCGGACGTTTGCGTCGTTCCCGTGGCAATCGCACTCTGTTTCATCAATACTACGCTTATGGATCAGATGCGAGATACGTGGCAGTGGGCGAACGCTGCCACCAGCAGAAGCGACCGGGGCTGTAGCTGAGCCTGTCAACGACGGACTGAATGTTTGTCCAGGTAGTTGTGGGGTTGGCGTGGGATGCACCACAGGCAGCATTGTCGGTGGACAGCGTACACGGGAAGCGACGGTGGTAGCTCTAAGTGCTGCTTGTGTCGGCACCGTCGAAGTTAATCCAGTCTCGCATGTGGGTGGCATCACATTCGTGGCTCGACGGATCTTCTTGTTCACAATACCGGCCGTTAGCGCCTGTACGCGACGTGCCAAACTGTCCATGTTAGCGTATTCAAGAAGCGACGCCGAGTGGATGAACATGAGCACCTCCAGCTTACGAGCCAGCACCCAAGTCTTGCTAAGGTCTGTGCCACCTGTGACGGCGTTCCCTTGCTGACTAAGCACGACTCGTGCGTTGCGCACCAGCAGTTGTCCAATACGCGTGAGGATCGTACAGCGGTGCGTCATGTGCTCGCGCCGTTGCCACGTGAGTGGGCGAGGCAGACTGCGAGCAGCGAACACGGCGTTGTTGGGGTGGATGTCCTGCGGCGGCAGGAACGCGACGTCTGCCATGGCTGAGCTTGATCTCGATCTACTACGATTGCAGCTTGCTGTTGTTCCTGTAATTGCCAAGAGCGGCCCAACTGCCTGCGCGTCGCCTCGGCGACAGTCTTTCAAGATGTGGCGATGGTGCCAGAGCATCAGATGCTTACTATGCTTTAGTGAATCCAAGTAATAATTTATGGCAACGCATAGTATCGTTTTTTTGTGGAGGCAGTTTTCATGCCATTTTGGAATGATGAATTCTCTGGATTTATCCAGAGTCCATCCGGCGATGACAATCCGGCGATTTCGTATACCCTGTCATAACCGTTTTGTATCGTTTGAGTGCTTAGCTAAAACAGTCTTCTTTAAGACCTTCCTTTGCACAAATAATAAAATGATGCACGTTGGTTGACCCATCCACAAGAGATGAAGACAAGCTACCTTGCTAAACTTTTATGCGATGATACTGTATTGTAACCTGCCACAAACTATTTCTCCAAGTCGCTCACGCAACATTAAAGCTAAGTATCTGTCTTCGCGCGACAAGACAGCTTGATCAGATCTTTGAGCCTCCTAAACCAACCGCGAAAACGAGCACACTAAGCCACTGCAGAGCCAGCACATATTATACGCCAACCGCTCAGCAGCGCGCTGTTCCATGGGCAAGGCCGCTCAGGCTCTGGGAGATGCCGACGCCTGCTGTTAGAATTGTGCATGAGGTTACACTCGTGTAACCGCGGTCCCGTAACCGGATTCGGCCGCCACTCCCGCGGATGGAGAGAACACTGCTGGAGAACGCAGGTAAGAAGGTTAGATAAAGAGCCTCACTTCTCAATAAACGGTGTTCTTTCACATATCAAACTAACCGGTTATGAGCCCAACAGCTTACACCGTTGCTGGGAGCAAAGCTCCTGGAGCTCCGGAAGCCAAGGAGATCGCCCAAGAGAGGGACGACGGCCAGTACGGAGACGTTGATGAAGTCAAAACGCCGTCCAAGCCCAAGGACCCGCAGGAGAAGCTGCTGGGCCTGCACACGGACTTGGCGGGGACGCATGGAGCGCCTGGAAGCCTCGCAGCAGCGGCAAGAGGACATAGACCGGTTCTCGGATCGCGAGTCAAGCGTCTTCGGCTCTGCAATTGGGCTTGGACGAGCGATGGATCACCAGACGTTGGACCAGACGCCGCCACCGCGGAACCCGACAGTATCCCCGGCCACGTAATTCGGCGTGAAGCAGCGTGTGTACGGGTACGAGAACGCAGCCGCGAACGTAGAGTGACACAAGCACCGCAGCCAGCGCTACCTGAGCATTACGTGCCACCTCGGCAGCCCCAGCTACCTGTGCAACCGTCAGTCGTGAAGCAAGGAATGAATGCACCGGTAACTAGTTCCATCGAGTGCCTGACACGCGTCAGCGAAAGCTCGAGCTTCGGCATTTCGACGGCAAGGAGTTCTACCTAGGTCTTGGTAGCGGTTTCTTGTCGTGGGGCAAGAGGTTCGATCGGCAAATACAGTTCGCGGAGTGCGCGAGCGGTTTCGAATGAACAGAGGAGGTAAAGGTGGACATCCTCGGACACTACCTCACCGGCATGGCCGAGCGGTACTACAACCAGCAGGTTGAAGGCTGGTGGGGCGAGGAACCAACGTTGGAGCACGCGATGCAGCGACTGCTGCACACCTTCGCGACGAGATAACGCCGGCGCAGAGCATGAAGATGTTCACAGCGCAGAAGGACTCGAAGCGTAGCTGGACGGAGCACTATCTTTATCTGGTGGCCGTCAGCGAGGCGTGTGGAGGCACCGACAATTTGGTCCTCGACAGCCTCGTGCACTACGCGGATCCTGCGATGAGAGTGTCAATGTTATCGAGGTTAAACCTCGGAAGCACGGATTACCTTCGGCAAGCGGAGGAGCTGGCTCACTTCGCGCAGTCGACTGAGATAGAGCTACGTCGCAAACACCTGAGGCGCGACGTCGTGAGCGATCTACGCGAAGCCCGCGTGGACAAGAGGAAGTGTTTTAAGTGCGGTAAGGTGGGTCACCTAAAGACATCGTGCCCAGACGGATTCAGAGAGGGCGGTCGGCGAGGCGACGCCGATTCTGTCTTGGCAATGGTCAGCTCGATCAACGACAAGGGCGTGTGGATTCTCGACACTGGGTCGGGACGCCACCTTGTAAGCGATGAGAGCCTGCTGGAGAACGCCGAGGATTTTGACAGCGAGTGCGTTGGCGCTAATGGAGGAGCACTGAAAGTAACCAAGCGTGGCAGTGTGATGCTGGAAACCACGGCTATAGGGAAACAGACCAAGGTGCTATTGTTAGATGTGGAGTACACGAAGAACTTGGAGAGAAACATTATTTTGTATGGGCGGTTGGAAAAGAAGGGCTACAGGATTGAGTATCGGGGCCCGAATCGCGTGATAGCCGCGATGAGCGGCGGACCGGCCGTGTTCGACGTGGAGAGATGCGACAACGTACTAGTTGTCCGCACCGGAGGCCACAGCGGCCGGCAGAGCGCGAGGGGCGTGCTCATGGCTCCGCTGGCGGAAAGCCAAGACGAGAAGGGACCCGACGTACATACTGGTACGCTAATGAACTTCCACCGCAGACTAGGGCACCTCAACTACGACACGATCCTGCGCATGGCGAGGAGCTCGGCGTCGGGGATCTTACTGGCGGACGAGAACCGATTAACTGTTTGGCCTGTGCGCAAGGCAAGCAGACGAAAACAAACAGTCGCGCAAAGACACGGGGGCCAACTCGCCCACCGACGTCATCGGTGGTGTGGTGTAGTGATTTCTCCATAGTTGCGGATAATCGCCCGTCGACAAAGACGCGACACCGCCCAAGTTGCTCAAGCGACGAACCCTCGGTCATGTGATGTACAGTGACTCCAAGGTGCAAAAGACTCGACGGCATCGGTACCGAACTTTCAAAGGATATTGGATACGGTCCATATGTCACTGAATCCAGGCTGTCCTTATTATTAATAATGGACTGGTCGGATTCACATTCAGCGGCCAAGAACTGACCATCTACGGTACGAACCCTCGGTGTCGGCTGGGATGAGTTCGCGGAAGACTCAGCGACCCTTGGAAGACACGTTCACCGTCTGTGACAGGGCGCGGGCCGTTAAAGATACTCATGCGATGGTGCAGACGACGCTTGGCGTGCAACAAGATCCATAACAGATCATTGTTCACTTGATATTTGTATACCTAATTAGGACTTGTCATTAGGAATAGGCCGGAAAGGGCAAACATAATTACAGAACAGAATTTCCACTCAAGCACATAGAGCGACGTCCGGCTTTAAGGTAAGCGTCTGGTCATGCTTGTTAGAGTGTGTTATGCCTGTCGGTGAGCTCGAAGCTCTGTAGCGAGGGTTCATCCGGCAAGGCCAAGAGACCGTGTATTTTGGCCGATTACCATCGGGAGGTTTTACGTGACGGCTTATTGTTGCCTATTTGCACGACTGGGATTGCTTGTATTGCCTCCCTTTCATTCTTCCAACCGAGTGTTGAACACTTGGTGCCCTCGTAAAAGGCTTATCCGTGCCTGGTACCCTTCCGCTGTTGGGACCACGAGGATTCATAACACATACTAGCTTTGCTCGTGCTAGTAGCGTGTTCTTATTTTTACTGGCTGGCTATATAAGTAGTTTACAAGGTCCAGTTTGTCCCGGTGTCAGGGAAGAACTGGGGTCTGCAGGTCCGCCCGAACGATCGTTTACTATCCTAGTAGACGTATTGCTGTGGGAACGTCCTAACTACATTTGTAGCTAGTGTTCACGTGGGAATTCCAACACCACAACTGGTGCCGCGACCCGGGAACAGATTGTGACCATTGTGAACTGTTTGTATAGCCTTTCAGTTTACGAGCTACCAAGAGAAGAAGAACAAGAAGAAAAGAAAAACAAGAAACATGGCGAAAGGACAACCGACGGTACCAGCTACGCCTGCCAAGCCTGGTGGAGCTCTCAACGAGAGTTCAAGTCCGGCTGCACTCTTTGCAGCCACTACCGAGCTTTTTGGTGAGCTTTGACGACGAGGCGGACATCAGTCCTGACGCCCACGATTATGACGATAACGAAGACAGGCCGCCGGCTCCAGATCCAGGCGCAACGACATTGGAGACGGCCACGCTATCATCAGGGCTGAGAGGGGCGACCAGGTCCCTTTCGAGGAACCTCGCCGACGAGCTAGATGACGTTGCGGGACCAGAACCGGTCTACGAAGATTATGACGATGGGACCGAGAGTTCTAAACCTTCGGTGGCGAGTGCAAAGCATTCGGCATTGCTGAAAGCACCTCGCCCACCTATCAACGGGGATACACCAGCCGCCAAGCGCGTTTTCGACCGCGTACAAGCGCTGATGCAAAATGATGAGTGGATGCAGCTGTTCAAGCCCATTCCCAAGAGAAAGGCCGACTGGCCCGCGCTTGCGCAGGAACTTCAATACCCAGTCAACTCGGTGTCGACTAGCCAAGTTGCCGAGGATTCAGTCTCGCTGCTGTTGTCGCTGGGCTTCGAAAATGAGACGTACCTATCGACGATGTCGCTCCAAGATTGGAGTCCTCATGAAGCCGGAGCTGCTCTCCAGAAATGGAAAAAGAAGCTTCGGAAGGCATTTGGTGCTGTTGGCATCAACGCTGAAAAGCAGCCTGTGAGTCAACCGATCATTCAAGATGAAGATCCGTCCACGATTTCACTGCCGCGGACACCCCAACGACACGACCGTACTCCTCCGACCAAGCGTGAAGCTGAGCCTGGTGCCTTTGGCACTACCGAAGCTTCACCTTACTTTCAAGACTCGCACATGGCTACGCCACGTTCGGAAAGCTGTATGCAACGTGTTTACGCTGGTAACGAGGGTTCGTTCGGTCGCCGAGGCGGTGCGCGAGCTCCCAAAGGTGGTGCCGGACGTCGTCAAGTCGACAGCGACGGTTCGTCAAGTGACGATGCCATTTTGGTGCGTACACACGACGAGGAAGATCCTCAAGTCGAGTTGATGCGTCAGATGAACGAGTTGGCGACGCTGAACGACGTGGACCCGACACCAAGGATTGAAATGGCATCGCACCGACCGTTGGATCGCATCACGCTGCTCTCAGGCTCTCGCAACA